CGCTAATCCCAACATTCTCAAGAAGCGGTACGCTTCGACCAGGTTGAGGATCGACGAGAAGTGCAACCGGCCTTTCAGTCCTTCTGCCTTTGGCTCCTTGCACTGATCCCAGTCAACAGCAGTGCGCTCAAACAGCGCTGCCTCCGTGAAGGCAGTGAGCTCCACGGACTTCAGCGCGACAGGTGCAATACCCTGGACTGTCGCTTGCGCTTCAGCACGTCTCTGGCATTGGGCATTGATCTCAGCAATCACAGCTTCCACGCAACCATTGAGCTGCGATTTCCTTGTCTGCGCTTTGTTGATGTTGAGGATCAACAGGGACAAAGGCGATGCCTTTCCAGGAAAAGCTTGAACCGCGGCACCGTTGGAGCAGCCTAGCAGGGCTGCTTGCAGGCTCAGTCCATAGGGCATGGCATGATGCGACGCCCGAGCGGCAAGCTTCTGGACCACCAAGCTGCCCTTGTCACCGTACAACTCCTCTGCGTCAAAGTAGCGATCTATGTGATCGAAGGCAGCCTCAGCCTCCGCGGCAAAAAGCGATCCTGGCTTGCTTGAAGACATACTCCGTAAGGCCAGGAGCCCCTAGTAGCGTCCTTTCTTGCAGCAGTAAGGCCAGGAGCCCCTAGTAGCGTTCCTGTGCCATGCACCGCAAGGATGAAGTGACACTTCCGGAAACCCCGATCCTTGATTCTTGAAAGTAACAAGTGACGGCAAACCATGCCTGTCATGAGTTCAATCTCTGTGTTTCAGCTCCGTATAGTGTGGCATCCTCTTATTCACAGAAACCTTCCCCAAAAATATGTATATGCAAATCCGCTATCTCTTAATATATACAAGTATAGAATTATATCTATCTATCTGTCTACTATCTACCTATCTATCTATCTATCTGTCTATCTATCTATCTATACGGTTTGTGTATATATATATATACGCTAACATTTTACCTATGTGACACCCAGTGCAAGAGCAAACTTGACATGTCGCACTTGTCACAAACTCTCCTGCATCATTGCTGAGGTTGCCACTGGTTCGATCTCCGGCGCTCTCGGGAAAATCCATTTACGATGATTACCTGCCCACGTGGCAACGCAAAAGCCCTATGCAACGGCAACATTAACAAATCCGACGCAGTGGCACAACCTTGTAAAGAACACGTGGAACACAAATCCCAGCATCGAGCCCGTTGAAGAGGGCTGTCCATGACTTCATTGACATGTCTCTCCTCAACTACATGGTCAGAAACACAAGTTTGGAAACTGCATCTATCATGTCAACGGGGACAGTTGCATGATTATTGGGCTACTCCACACCAGCAGCTGACTGACTTGGCTTGCATACCAGCGGATCGTGCGGACGCAGACACGCGAGCCGTGTCCTTGGCGGCTACTTGTTTGCGGTCGCTGGGTCAGGACACGTGGTCCACTGTGCAGAATTCAGTGGCTCAGAAACGATACCCTTGCGTTGGTTCTTCTGTGCACAGGTGAAGCACGCAGTGCCTGAGTGGCGCTGCTTGGTGCATGACGACGCCTGCCATCTCAAGAGGTTTTCGCAGAAGCATAAGAGCCGGTGTGCCTTAGCCCAGGACATGGCCAGCATGTTGTTCATACTAGACAAGTTCCATGCCCAAAACCATAGAGACCCTTATTGTGCGCTGCACTGCCACCCATCGCAACACACAGAGGTGATGTCGGGCTTTGACAGCTCAGCGTGTGAAAGGGTGAATAGTATTGTTGGAAGGCATAAGTTCTGCATGCGGCAAATGGGCGCTGGCGTTCGCAATTTCTACTTGCAAGAAATCATCGAAACCAGGAATAGTTTGAAGCCAGATGGTCAACCTCGGCCAGTGGTGATCGACGAGTGACTAGTGGACGAGGCCCATCGGCCAGAGTATTGGTCTGCACACCCTGCAAGCACTGCGTCGATAGGTTTGACAAGGACCTCATACGGCTCTGTGCAAGGCGCACTCAAGAGCCGTCGCAAACGACAGTGACTGACAACAGCTTCTTCCGGAGCAGGACCTCGTGCTGCCGGATTCAAATCACCTGCGTGCAAAGCACAGCGCTTTCTTTTCCTGCATGGAGCTCTGGAGCACGGCGAAACAGTGTACGCTTTCAGAAGTGGACTGTGCACTAGCTCAGCTACTTCTCCCCCACAAATGCGCGGAGCGAGCTTGAGGTTCCCATCCACGACAAGTCTTGTCAGATCCAAGCCAAAATCTTTGGCCATCTGGACGCGCCTCTGCAGCATGAACTCGTTGTAAAAGGATGCTTCAGCTAATGACTTGTGGAAAGGAGCTGCCAAGTTGACAGGTATCACATCCAAGCCACTCTGTTCAGCTTGGTGCACACGGATCACCTGGACATTGTGGAAAACATAGTACGAAGGTGAAGCCATATCCCGTACCCTGCTGTCAGGATAAAATCACACGCCTACAAACTGTTTATGATTGTTTTCAACATCTTCACATGAAGACCTGGTAATGCACCTTTGCTTCGTTCTGCTATCTTTCTCTTACTCCAGATATGCGTGCCGTGTAAGCTGTCAAAGTAGGAGGTACCCGGTGACAAAGGAAAAACATGTCAAGGCCCTAGGATTGAGCTCAGACACTAGGCGCCAAGTCAGCCAAATGCTGAAAAGTTTCAGGCGAGCTTTGTCAGGAACCAGCTCCTTCTTGCCTCGGGCTACTGCGTCTGCCATGTGGACGGCCGCCTCACCTGTGAAGCTGACGTATTGAAACCTCAGAACCTATGAAACTGTAGGCTCCCATGGTTGCTTCCTAAGAAAAAAGAATAAGTAAGGGAATGAATGGGTCCCAACTTCACCCGTTACCCATCTAGCCAAAGGACGCTAGCCTCCTGCTCATTTGGCGCAACCAATCCACTGACACGCACCAGCGTGGGCACAGGAATAAAAACTCAATCCTCTCTTCGGATCGCCATTCAAAAATACGCTGACTGCGATCTCGGACTACATAGTTGTACCACACAGATCTTTTGGTATAGACCACACGATGTGTTGGGACACCGTTTCGCCCGGTGAATCACTTCTGCCCAGCCACTAGGGTGCAAAACGCTGGCGCGCACGGAGACACCAAATCTCCGCAGTGGAGCCCCGCAAACGCACTCTGCATCCGGCGACTCGCCTAACCGCGACATCAATTGACAGGAATAAATTAACAATGATTCTTTTGCTGGCTATTGACAATATATGACCTTAATTGACACGAAGACAGACTGTCGACATGAAAAGAAGCCATGCGTACATATCGTTGCTTGAGAGCTTGAGAGACATCGTTGCTTGGAGCTATATATGTAGCGGAGACACGGCGTGAAAGAGTGCTTGATCACAGCATTTAGAAGGCTAAACGGAGGGTGTGGAGAAAGGGGGTCAGCAAAAATCGCTTATACGAAGTTAGTGCATCAAAATTACCTTCCACGAAGTTCTGCGAAGGTTTCTGGGATTTCGTTGCAGTCAGTTCTCCTACTGGCCCACCATTCCACGAACTGTCCACGAACAGCCTTGGGTTCTTCGAAGGTCACGCGCCTTCCACGACGTTAGTAGAATAGGTTTTTGCAAAACCCTTTCTGTGCACTACCCTTCCGTTTGCAAAGGTCTCTATAAGGGAATTCTGTCCTATAGAATCACGTGCAAACTGACGGGAACGACGGGCCCGACGGGAACGACCGGGCTCGACGGGAAGACACACCCAGAGGACCATGGCCGGAAGATCACCGTCTTGTACAGATCAAGAATTACGCAACCCTTCAAGGATTCAAGCAAGTCTTCCACTGAATCAAGCAAAAATGAACCGTCCCCTTGGCTCTGAAACGCGACCTTATTCACAACCACACGTCCAAGAATCCAAGAAGGAAGATCAAGTACTGCCTGATCCACGCCGAGAGAAATTTCCCTCAAACGCATCGCTGACCCGTAGTCAATCGCCTGACCACCAGGCCCCAACTCCTCCACTCCTCTTCTGAAGAGATCTCGTCAAAAGCTGCTGCTGGGAACAGAGCCTCTGGAGAAAGGAGATCTATTGACTTTCGACGCTCGACTGGGAGCAACTTTGGCTTTGGGAGCCACGTTCAGCGTAGCACTTGGAACAGCTATGGGTGCTTTTGCAACACTTGGTGTGGACGCACTATCACTCAGGATTCCACTCAGGCGATTCTCAAACGCAGGTGCGAATGCTTCTCGGAGCTTCTTTCGCTTTGCGCTTTTTCCTCCTCGTGGTCTGTAACGTCGCCCCGTATGCATACACAAATCGACTCCGAGATCAACTTCGATGGTAGCAAGAAAAGCTCAAAGGACCGTCAAGAATCGAATATGGCACGCACACAGACGAGTGATTAGATGAATGAATACGTAGGGGAAAGCCAGTACGGCTGATAACCTAATGAGAGGCTGATTATGTGGTAAAACCCAAGAAACGACACAAAGCAGCTTCAGGGGCCTCTTTTACCTTGAGCCAAAATTAGTAGCACTCGAGGAGGTCAATCCCTACCCTTTGGTTGGATTCGTTCTGCATTAATAAACCCTCCATATATAAATGTTGTTCAATCGCAATGCGGGGGGGTTATTCAATCAAGAGTCTACATTTGTCACAAGTAGAGAAGCTAAAGGAAGGAACTCTGCAAGGCCGAAAGCTCCAGCCGAAGACTACTGCTGACTTACAGATCTTACAGTAATTCTGTCGGGTACTCATATGCCGCCGGTCAACCACCCCGAATGTACATACGCCAGTCCCTGTCTGGAGTGTCTGGGATAGGTTTCCAGTTTCAGGTCTAGGTCAGTTGACATTGGGGAAACTTACGGGGACTTCAGCTTTGGACCGGGTCCGGGCTTCCTTTCACTTGGATTTAAAGCATTTCGAGGCCATCACTTCCGAAAAGGTCTGACCAAAGTAAAAAACACATCCGAAGCAACACTTGGGAGATCACTCGCAAGAAACCAGCATGTTGCCCAGCAGTCATGTTTCCCCTGTTTTTGTGGCGCTCCTCCAGGAAGCGGCTGGAGTTCCGGGGCTTTAAGGCGGGTACCAGCTGGATCGAGAAGACGCCCACCAGCTGATTCTCCCTGGAAATCGACCCAAGCTGAATGGAAAGCAAATGGACAAAATGTGGGATGCTGATTTTGTTTACCATGCTGAGGATTCTTACCATCTCAAGCTTCAGTGATGCATTGGATCCTCCATCTCTGCGGGCAGATGAACCTGAAGTACTGGGAGCGAGGCATTTAATGTGACACTTGATGTGTGATTGCCAGAGAAACCCACCTGGAAAAGACCAATGTCAACCAATGCCACCCAGATAAGCCCATCTTGGAATCGGCTGGACGCCCAAAAAGAGTCTTCCTGCCGTCCAAAGCTGTACCCAGAAATATGGCCAGCACGTTGGGGGCCCAGTGCAGTGGTAGCTGCCGCCCCCTACAGGAAGAGTGCTGATTATCTGGGGGTGGTGGGTAGGGCTATTCCAAGCATTCGTGGGAGCTGGACATTCAGGGGTTACCCACCCCGGTCCTGCAGGGCACCCTAAGGGCACATCTCCAAGTACAGTTGGCTCTGCTTGATTTTCGTGTATCCTCATGGTGCATAAGAATGGACCCCCCAAAACAGCAACACGTCGACTTCTTGTCGCTACCATGTCGCCACCTTCCGCCACGTTCTGAAAGCCACCCGCTGTCGTCACCACTCTACTAGCGATGGCCTCCACCCTACTAGCGATGGCCTCCACCCTACTAGCGATGGCCTCCACCCTACTAGCGATGGCCTCCAACCTAATAGCAATGGCCTCCCACCTTAATAACGATGGCCTCCAACCTAGTAGCGATGGCCCCTGAATCGGCGTGCATGTCATCCGGTGCCTCTTGACGCCGATGGACAAAAAGCTGGCGAGCTTTCCGCTCGAGGGGCCATAGGGTGCCCAGTCGATGACATGCACCTCATCCGGCTCCGCCATGGCCGCCCTGCATTTGTGGAATGAGATGGGCGGTTTCGGTGTTGACTCACTAGGTCGGAGCGACAAATCCCACCCTGATGACAGAAAACATCTACGTGCCTGACCCCCCCATGTTACAACTTTCCTCGGCCAAGTTCCACCCCTGAACACTTCAACACTCCAATTCTTCAACCTTGGTCTGTTTGTTTTTATAGGTCGTGTTTCATCTACATCTTGACTGTCTCCATACTCCAAAAACCTCAGTAATGTGTTCAAAGGCAGTATTATTCCAGGGGTAGCATTGATTTAAAAAAAAGGTTTCCCATCCAAACGGAGAGGGTTTCATTAATCAACTGCATTGTGAGCTGTTGGAGGGCTTGGATTGGGTTCGTCTTGCAAATCATGCGACCAGGAAGGCTCCTGTGTGTAGATGCTTTTCTAGTGAGTGTTTGTTCTCTTTACGAAGTCTTCCGGTCTTTCCAGTGCGAGGCACAAAGGCACCTGAAACGGATGAACATCAACCAACAAGGTTTTCTAGCTGGCAGGTGGTTTACAAGAAGTTGTGGCTCAAAAATTGAAATCTCCCAACCGCCCTTCCCCATTGCAGCTGTTGGTCCAGACTTGTGTTTCTAATTGTTTCTACTTATGTGCATGTTCTTCGCCATGCATTGGAGGCCAAACATTGCCAAGCCTTAACGACCAAACTTGCATCAAAATGTACCATTTATCAGCGGGTCTAACTCTACAAAGGGAGGGGTGGACAAAAAAATTGTGTTCCAATGTGTGCAGGAAGGGGTGGCACAAGTGTCAACAAGATGTTCAAACAGGGGGGGATTGACATACGGAAAAAGGACATATAATTTATAAAGTATACATTTGTCTTGTCCTTTTGGTGTTTCTGGAAGCACCGGTTCCAGGATATGTCTGACATGGGGGGGGACAGCAAAACTCGAATTGTCTGCGCATGGAGTGGGGCACACCGACCCTTGCGCATCGACATATCTGCCGGGAATGGGCGACCCAGAAAGTGTGAGGCCATGGGGTTGGGGAAAAGTGTGAGGCCGTTCGTGGCCATGCAGAGTGAAAAACTCCGGACGTTGAAAGCAAGGGAGGGGTTTCCCCGCTCTCAGGAAGCATACTTTTGTTAAGGACATGTACGAAAAGGGCCGGGGACATCCATACGCATCCAACATTACTTCAGGAGGAAGAAAGTTTGGCAGCTCCCCTCCAGAATCCCGACATGACGAAACTCTTTCCGTAATCCGGCGGAGTAATTTCCACCACCCCGAAGTAAACTATATATATATACGTTTAGTATACTATAGCACTACTTGGGGTTGGAAATTTCTCTGCCGGAATTCCACTGCGATCCACTGCAATTAGTATTCCAAGGGGACAGGGTTGTAGGTCTTGTATTCACAGGCTTGTTACCAACTTTTGTTCTGTCTTTGTATCATCAAAAAATATCTTATCAACCAAAAGAAAATGCATAAATTCACTTCCCGGGAATGAAATCTGGACAGCAACACCGAGGGACTGTCTGTTTGGAGTACTCCCACGTCTGTCTATATATGTGATCGGGTGACTACCGATTTAACTCGATTTAACTCCAGCATGACCAGCTCATCCAACATATATATATATATAACATCATATGTTGCACATGTATATAATTATCACGCATGGTACATATATTCGCTGTATATACAATGACATACAATTGCCGTATATCAAACACACGTGATCAACAAAAACCGGTTAGAAACAAACCTCAACCATCCAGCATCGACCACGGTCTGACCAGCTCTTCGGTCCCATCGGTCCCACCCGGTCCCGAAGCCGACCGCACCTGTAGGCGACGCCCAGACCTCAACCGGTGAACCGCTTGGTCTGGCGGAGCTCTCCCGATGTCATGTCGACATGTGTGTCTTTGTTGGAAAAAAGGTTCCCCTACAAGACCACTATGTAGTGACCACAGTGCTGAAAACGAACAGGGGCGAACTCCGCTTCTACCTTAGTGGAAGTGTAGCTTTCCAGCACTAGTGCTTTGTCATTGACATGGTTCCCAAGTCGCAGTCGCAGGAGCACGACCTAAGACAAGCTACCTTTGTGATCCTCCACCAGTTGCAGGGGAGTCGTCTCAGCCGGGCCCCCAAGACGTACTTAGTGACTTAAAGTCACCCCGTTGGAACTCCGAGTATGGATCTTGAGGTCTCTGCAACCCCGTTTGTGATCCATCCATCCCTCCTTCCTTCACTGTCTCGATCCTCTCTGGAGTTGCAGAAGTGGAGCGAAAAACACACCGAACCATCCAGTCCAGGCCGTCCGGGTGCTGCATCTCTTCATCTCTTCGTCATCTGTGGGGTTAATGAACAACATCTATGGCACCATGTGGCACCCGTCATCTAAGTACACTGATACCCTCATCCATGATATTTAAGATGTCATAGCAGGCCCAACTGCCTGTTCTGTTGCAGTTGCGTGATGACAAACATAGCACTCCTAGCACCTTTATATATTCGAGTTAGGCAATCAAGCGAACAGCAAAATTATCCGGCAAAGAATATGTTTAGAGGCTCTCATGTACTGTCTTTTTGGTGCATATGAGTGCATATGTAGTATTGTCGAAACAACTTCCAATAATATATCATCAATATTTGTTGCCTCTAACCTCTAAACATGCGTTGCCCAACACATCAGCTCATTGTTTCAGAATCTGTCAGGACAGCCCCCCTTTCCAAACCACCTTCAAACCGATGCCAACCGTTCTGCAGAATCATCGCTAAGCTACCAGAGTTTCTCCATTCACCAATCCCATCAGCCGCAAAGTTTGTGGCAAAATCCAGCTCCTCATGGGGCGCAACAAGCACCACTTCGTAGAGCTTCCATCTCTCGCCAAACTACCCTGTGTGTGTGACCAGGTGACAGCATGCTTTTCCAACTGGAAATGTCAGGAGTTGCATCCCTCTGGATGTGGAGTTTTCTGATGGTGCACTGAACAACTACAGGTTGTCCTTGTACACCGAATAGATGAGGTTCCCCTTCAGGTCGAAAAAGAAGATGTCCTCAGCTAGGGAAAAATGAATGGCAATGAATTCATATCAAACGTGTTAAACATGAGCATGCATGTACGTTGATTCAATTTGCTTGGCCTGCGGATGATACGTATTATTCTGGGATTTACTAGGTACATATAGAAATGACATACCAGGGTTGGATTGGATTGGATGAAAAATGCCCCAGTTCAACCCCTTTCAGCCATTTTCCTTCCTTCCGAGGCCACATGAGCGAGCGCCTCTGACCTGTGGGCACACAAGTACCACTGTGTTTGTTCCGATATCGCTTTACAGCGTCCCGGATGCCCATGCCCCATGCCAATTTTTCTGCAGGTATTCTCTTGAAAAAACAAGAGTGAAGTACGGGATGGATATGGTAGAGAGGGCGGGAGAGAGAGAGAGAGAGGGTGCGTGTTCTATCGACACAGCAGCCTTTCCTTCTGCTTTCACTGAACCAGCGATATCTTTTTCTAGAGCAGAGCTCTTCATCTGTGGCATCCTGCACTGGCCTGTTCAGGAGCGACCTAGAGTCTCACATAACAACGCCTGCAAGTGCGACTGAAGGTAGCTCAAGTTGTTTGCAAGCCTCTCAGTCTCTCCTTGTCAGCGGCAAGCTTGGAAATAATAAGAATGTGGTCAGAATAGAAAATGATACAATAGGAGCTCCCCTCGTCTAGACAACATTTTGATCATCCATGCACGGGTATCGCTTTGCCATCACTTTACGTAAAGCTTAACCAGCAGAGCAAAAACAAAGAGAGAGTGAGGGAGAGCGAGAGAAAAAGAGAGAGAGAGGATGATGCAAGCAAAATTCCTGGTTCTTTAAGCTCCGGAAGGCCATAAATCACAATTGTATACAATTGTTTGCAGTCCCCTATAGAGAAAATTGTCATGCCCTTTCGAAACAACCCTTCCTGCGACAGAAGGGATAAATCGCTGTTTGTGTTGCGCCGCGCCATTGTCTTCACCCCTGTCTGAGACTCTGATAAACAAATGGCCGCTTAAAGAGGGTATCGCTTTTGGTTGTCCACTATATCGCTTTACACGCCGGATAAACTCATGATTTCTATGCCTATGCACGAATTCAGCACCCTGAATGAATTCAAAACTTTTGAAAGCAACATCCGCATCTGCCCAGCGTCATAGTAGTTCTTCTCATAGAGCAAGGCTCGGTACCTGGCGGCTCAAAAAGACTCAGCCGTGGATGGCCAGACTCGAGGCCAAAACCTGAAACGAAGCGTCGCGTAGCCTGTCAAAGCCTGCATGGCTCTTGCAACTTTCACAGAGCCTGTGAGAGCCAATGTCAAGATTGAAGCATTTCTGCCTGGAAATCGGGCCTGTTCAAGATCGTCCAGGGATGGTTTCTCATGGTTTCTCTTTCTGCCCCATTGCGTCCTCCCACCATCTCCCGCCGCGACACGTGCCACTCCAGCTTGGGCTCACGTGGGATGGTATTGGCGATGAACGGTATGGTAGGTCTCGGGCTCATTGGCGTAGTCAAGCTTATCCTTCTCTCCAATCCTTTTCGGCTGGACGGTGGAATCCCCGGAATCCCCGCGAGGATTTTTTGTAAGTGGGCAGTTTATATGCACACCACCCTGTTGTCGGCATCAAGGATTTGGAGACTCAAGACTCGTTGTTGGCTGGTTTCAACACCCCAACCCATGACTTCACGTCACTGACGAAACGCTCAAAACCGGAGTGTGTCACATCTCGAGCCCTGTCAGGTTGTCGGAACGGTTTTTTTTTTTCGCGGCGTTGACGAAAAGCGTCGGAAACTCGTTGGAGATGATGTAAGCGATCTGCAGGCTCAGCAGCCTCTCCTCGTTCGTTGGCCTGTACGCCTAGAGCTGCTATTGGAATTGGCTGCGGAAGACGGGCCCCGGCTTCTGGAGGGGTGCGGTAGGGTAGCCCCTCTTGGAAGATGATGGTAGGTGCGTACTCTATCCTGTCTTTACACTTCTCTATACTGATTCTGCGCTTATTCCACCATGCCCAGCAATTGCAGCAAGTCAGAAGCCAGGCAACTTTCGAGGTTCACTTTGCAAAAAGAAATCCTGAGACCCCAAAGCATGCCCTATCCATTCACACTGGGCAAGAAGTCAACAGAAAACAACTCAGGTTTAAAAGCCTTGAAACTGTGCAAGCCTTCAACCATTGAAAGAGCAACCTTCCCACATCGCACATCATAGATCAGCCACTCCAACTCCAAAAGCACATCCAAAAAGAAACTATCAGTAAAATTACTTTACTTCGAGTGATCCCCACCATGACATTTCAATCATTTGTCTTGATGCCATAGTGAGGAGCATGTTGCCATAGTCGTTAGTATTGTAGTTCTCGATGTTGCTTGTGGGTCCTCGGGTTGTGTGCTGTGGTTGTGTGCTGTGTTGTGGTTGTGGTTGTGTTTGTGGTTGTGTGTTTGTGGTTGTGTGTTTGTGGTTGTGGTAGTGGTTGTGGTAGTGGTTGTGATTGTGTGTTTGTAGTTGTGGTTGTGTCTTTGCGATTGTGTGTTTGTAGTTGTGGTTGTGGTTGTGTCTTTGTGATTGTCTGTTTGTAGTTGTGTTTGTGGTTGTGTGTTTGTGGATGTGTTTGTGGTTGTGTTTGTGGTAGTGGTAGTGGTTGTGATTATGTGTTTGTAGTTGTGGTTGTGGTTGTGTCTTTGTGATTATGTGTTTGTAGTTGTGGTTGTGGTTGTGTCTTTGTGATTGTGTGTTTGTACTTGTGGTTGTGGTTGTGTGTTTGTGGTTGTGTTTGTGGATGTGCTTGTGGTTGTGTTTGTGGTTGTGTGTTTGTGGTTGTGTGTTTGTGGTTGTGTGCTTGTGTGTGTGTTTGTGGTTGTGTGTTGTGTGTATGTTTGTGGTTGTGTGTTTGTGATTGTGTCTTTGTAGCTGTGGTTGTAGTTGTGTGTTTGTGATTGTGTTTGTAGTTGCGTGTTTGTGATTGTGTTTGTGATTGTGTGTTTGTGGTTGTGTGGTTGTGGTTGTGTGTTTGTGGTTGTGTGTTTGTGGTTATGTGTTTGTGATTGTGTCTTTGTAGTTGTGTTTGTAGTTGTGTGTTTGTGATTGTGAGTTTGTGATTGTGTCTTTGTAGTTGTGTTTGTAGTTGTGTGTTTGTGATTGTGAGTTTGTGATTGTGTTTGTGGGTGTGTGTTTGTGGTTGCGTGTTTGTGGTCGTGTGTTTGAGATTGTGTGTTTGTGGATTTTATCTGGCAAACTATCTGGTTGAGGTCCAGCGGTGCACACTGCGATCGGATCCTTGCGGTTGAGGTCCAGCAGTGCACACTGCGATCGGATCCTTGCGGTTGAGGTCCAGGGGTGCACACTGCGATCGGATCCTTGCGGTTGAGGTCCAGGGGTGCACACTGCGAGGGGATCCTTGCGGTTGAGGTCCAGGGGTGCACACTGCGATCCGGAGCTGGCCAGACACGATCGGCGAAGCAGATTGGCGAGGAAGGAAGCAAGGAGGAAGGAGGAAGGAGGAGGGCGAGGAGGCGGCGGAGGCGGAGGCGGAGGAGGAAGAACAACTGTGATAAAATCTAACAACCCTCACCTGGCAGGTGGGGAAAAACAGAACTTCCCCCCGCAAAAGAAGAACGCAACACACACGCACATCAAATGATTCAACATGTTCCTTGTTAATAACAAACCTATACAGTAAAATAAACCTCCGAACACCCCAAAAGAAAAACACATCAACACCATACCCTCCGCCCATCTCCATGCCCCTACCTCCCAGGCGAAGGTGAAATCGTGGATGGCGTTGCTCAACTCCCAGGTGACCGAGGCCAAGAGGTTGGCCTCCGTCTCTTGGTTCTTTCGAAAAGGCCCGGATTCCTCCGACTTCTTTGGTTTTCACTGGAATCCACCTCAAGGGCTCAAAGGATTCCAGTGCCTTAGTGCCTTTGTGTAGTGCTGGATTGCCCATCTCGTAGATACACTCAAAGCGCAAGACGACATGGAACCCATGCTTCGTCTGGAGGTGATGCCCGCTCAGAATCACAAAAGGGCGGCCCAAAACAACCAACTAATCACCGGCTGGCCATGGGGTCCTCCGCCGTGGCTCTGAACCCGAACTGGGCGCCTTTTGAGCCTCGAGGCCCAAAGCAGCTTGTTCCAACCAATGATGTGAGTAGCCGGAGTTCAGCAAAAGGAACCTCAGATTCTGGCCAGTTCAATCGTGAAGCCGCCCTGGACTGGAATCTGAGTAGATGGAGGTATGTGGAAAAAGGATGAGGGTCTTCTTGGCCTGACCACTGAAGAAACCGGTGTGTCACTGTGAATTCCTTGATGGAAGAAGTGGCCAGTGGGCGATGGTCAGAAACCATTTCAAGTCCGCTCTGTACAGGGTCAAAGGGGGAAAAGTTGGACCCTGGACTGCTGTTCTTGACAAGTAGGGTCTGACATGCACATATTTTATGCGCGACCGCAAGTCCATAGTCTCAAACATTCTCAAACCAACCATATCACTCATAGAATGTCTTGGTTTGAGGGGGAGGGGCTCCGGCCCCTCAAATCAACATTGCACCCTCAGCACTTGATCCTGTGACACAGTTCCACAAAGACTCCCGCAGACCCGATGCTGACGTCTGGATGCTTATGTCTGACCCGAGTGTGCTTTCTGTTCTTCTTCTGATGTGGACGTCTTGTTTCGCTTTCCTGTAACTAAAGTCCTCCATACCCTATACAAACATGATCAAATATTAACACAAAGGGGCAACACTACGAGTCACTAGGCTGTTTGATCAGCTATTCTCACCCAATCGGCTCTCCGGCCCAAGGGCTCTGTCTCCATCCAGTAGCTCTTGGACTCCAAGCTGCCCATGTTCCTTGGACTCCAAACTGTCTGGCTGGAACCCCCCGACCAAACTGGCAAACCGTTCCACAAAACGATGGTGCAAGCGAAACAGCTGAGCCAAAAGCACACAAAACCAAGGCATCGTTGAGGACGGCAAATGGTTAGACCTCCGAAATGGAACGTGTCACCTGCGGCCTTAGTGGACTTCCAAGGCCGTTGCTTCTAGCTTGGAGGCCGCTAGAAGAGGATGAAGAGGAAGGCGGCCGGGAGATGGGGATGGGTTCAACCTGGAGCCGAAACATCCATCTAGCGAACCAGGTAAGGGAACAACCGCGGTAGGTATCCTGGTGCCATGACCCACAGCCGTATGGGTTACCATGACCCGTACCTTCTCACCTCGAAACACCTGACGTCTCGGTGTGTGTTGTCACAAAGTGCTGCGCCTGCCACGAAATCTGCACATGGAGGTTCACAAAGTGCTGTGCCCGCATCTGCATCGGCAAAACACAATTTGGTACTGTCACTGTCACACTTCTTTTGGAACAAATGCCGCGGATGTCAGCTCTTCAAGGCTTGAATGCTTGGGGGGGAAACGCAGCCGACACCCGTGACGAGAACATACGAGAACCACTTGTCACTTGTCCGCACACATGGTAGACATCCGTAAAACAAGACAAGGCAAGTGCATGGCCCTCAGGGCGGAGCTCAGCCGGGAGGTTCCCAAAAACCGTGTTGAGGCAACCCCAAATTGTCCTATTAAAAAACACGTAGCCCTAAGAGCTTTGAGAGATCCAGTATCCGGACTTGGGGGACCTATGCCCATGCTGTCTTGGTGTCAACTCTTGTGTGCCAGGGCTCGCTAACAGGAGCTCCCAATAGGCCATCGACACGTCTGGTGTGCACGACACCGGATGTTCGAAATGACCTCCACTCAAGCGGGCTGCACATTGCCGGGAACTCGTAGATACAGTATCTGCTGGTAATTATGTTTAATATATGTACTGCAACTGTAACCACAATTGACTCGTACTGCAGGCTGATACCTGTGCGTTGCACATGGCCCAAACCATTGCAAATATTCTCAACATTGAGGTGGTGCAGAATGTTTTTCTGCAACCGCAGTCCCTTCGAAACAGATCGAAACAGAAATGACGAACTATATAGGTTAGACATGGTTAAACGATTGCAATGTGTGTCGTGTATTGTCCTGGTTTTTGGTATATACCAAATCCGAAGGGCCCTTTGTAATGGCACGCGCCCAACTTGCATGGATGGGCATCCGCCAACGGTGCCTTTGCAGGCTACTTGTCAAACAAACTGAAGTTCCAAATGGCCAGTTGGATCTGAACTACTGCACTACACTTGCCCATTTGCGTGTCTGACACCTCTCGTTAGCCAACAAACATGATGACACGAGAAACATGCAATGCAGAACGTGCTGGTGTGGTTAGAAGGGAGTTCCATAAATGAGGCAATGTCGTGCCAATTGCATGTCCCAAACCATCCATGTATGGAATAGTGACATACATTTACCCCTATTCATTACCGTAATATCATGAATGAAACAAGGTATTCAGCTATTCAGCTATTCCATGCATGGATGGTCAATGGTCTCGGTCTGTCTCGGTGTTCTGATCTGAACATCTCCAGCAGCGAAGTCTACCCAAAAAAGCTGTCTTTGTCAAATCCAAGCTCCCACCCCCCCAAAGACACCTCACACATGTACCAAAACACGTGGCGGGTGACAGTGCATCATTACACACCATCAGCGTCTTAAGCCATCGAACTTCTGTATGATCAAACTGCCACGTGCACAGGCTCCACTAAGTATGTTTCAGCCGGGTAGGTTTCGACAGTTCAGCCACCCCTCCGACTGCATTACAATCAAAGCAGCCAAGAAGTTGTCCAAGAAGCGTTTCCCAAAGGTTTGCCAACAATATGTTTTGGGGTTGGCTTCAGTTAAGGTTATATAATGCGTCAAAAGAGCCATAGCATGCCAGAGAAGCATTTGTCGCTTTTCAAGGTCTGAATTCTGAATTGGAAAACTGTTCAACAAAAAGGTCAAAACATGTCAAGACTAAAACCCACATATCAGGACTTGGCATCTTGAAAGCGGTGGCTCTTTTCAAAGAGGCTGTAGGTCTTCAAAGAAGTTGGCCTTTCAGCGAAAACTGCAAACAGCAAGGCATGCTACGCAGAGCTTGGTAGAGAAGTGTGGTTATCCTGCAAAGAACTGCTGAAGTCGATTGAAGGCAAACTGTCATCATTCACTCGCCGTTTCATCGCTGGTGATGAAACCTTCGTCAAGGATCGCCTTACAGGGGCTTGCTGGCGTATGGAATGGCAAAGAAATGAAAAAACGTCTCTGCCACGGAAGTCATCAACGCGTAGAAGCAAAGAGGATAAAGTTTTTCCGGGTCTCCGGAAAGACCTCTTTCCACAGATCCGGCTTCGTTGCTTTCCATGGGACCATGCCTGCGACATTCTCCTCTGACACAATTTGCATGCCCTCACCACTCTTGAAGGCCATGGCCGGTGAAAACTTATCCACAACGATGTTAGTGAGGTGCTCGCCAGCATCCTCCTCACAAAAGAACAACTTAAAAAGCAAGAATTGGCAAAAGCTGGTTTGTCCCAGTCGAAAAATACAACGGTTCTTCCATGTCCTTGCCACATCCACAGAACCCAGTGAGAACTGCCCGCCAATCCTATTGAAATAAATATTTTGAAGTTGCGAGCAGCGTCCAAGTTGATAGAGCCACCACAAATCGCCAGCAGAAGGCGGGCAAGGCGCTCCCATCTGACACTTCTTGACGAACAACTCATACATCATCATACATGAAGCAAGGAAGCACTTCTGGGGCAATGATGAAATGCACAATCAGATTTAGTCCTGCGAATGCCACCTTGTAGGGGTAGCCGTGTAGCCGTGCTCAGTGCAAATGGGGATGACCGAAGACTGTTGGCTCTGTTTTGTAATCTTGCTTTTCTGTGCCTGCGCTGCCTTGGCAGTTTCTTTCTTCTCAGCATTTTCACTTGCAGTCTTTCACACTCATACCTTTCTCCTTCCTGAGCCGCTTGCATGAACAGGAAGCTGCTCTTCATAGCCTTGATGGAGTTAGCATCCAAGCGTCGCTGGTTATAGTTCGACTGCATGTCTCCTACCAAGCCATGCGCAACTCTCGTTGAACAATTGAGAGTAGAGTCCATACAGCCTTGACCACGCAGCCCAGCCTTGACCTGCGCTTGCCTGATTGAACGGAACGTGACTCCATGGGCATTCTGTGGGGCGAAAGCGCTTGTCCAAGACCAGCCCCCGATCACTAGCCCAACGACCAGCGTCCATGTCTAACAGCGAGGGCAACTGATGACAGTGAAAACGATGTTTATGAGGACGAAAAGGTGGTGCATTGCTATGCATTGTTCCATCCTATCTTGTCATCTGGAGGTGTGCTTTTCCATGATGCAACAATATGCGCCGGTGAAATTCATGCTGTTGCCCCTTCAAGACGTTGGCAGTTTGGTAAATCTGCGTTCCTCACACTCACGTCTTTGAAGTACTGCTGGAGCAGAAGCATTCCATGCCATGGGTGGCTGAACTTAACTTGTTGATCGAAACAATGACAATTGAAGATGGCAAAAAAAAAACCTTCGGTTTGGAGACAAAAGACTTCCCACACAGGACACTCACGGACCAAAAAAAAAACCTAACAACTCCCCAGGAAAACGACCAAAGGCAAGGACAAGGATTGAACACCGGCATCAAACAAACGATCCCAAACAATGACCAACCTTATCGAATAACATTTCGTCACTGAAGCTGTTGACAAAAAATCAACATCAAGGAAAAACGGTGAATCTCAACATAAAGCATAACAGGCAAACATGTGGAATCGGAACATGGACAACACATAAAACAGCCTAACAACTGAACCCCTGAACCCCACTACCTGCAACCCCCAATTTATCCACTTGTTGGGGAGGGGGCTTGTTCAAGCTTTGCATCAAGCACACCTGTTATTACCTGTCGGACCTGTCCGTTCTGAATATATCGGGTGTGGCCAAGGCCCTAGGGGGTGTGCTGTACTACCTCCATGATGTGGAATGGGTTTCCCACATGTTGACAGTCATGAAATGGGTCATTCAAACGGGATGTTGAGGACAGCCTTCTGGCCAATGAACCAACCAATCATCTCAATCGACCGATGTGGATTGAAATGTCCGCACAAACCAGCGTGGAACCGACCGGGCGGATTTGGGGCAATTCAGCGGTGGTCTTTGGTTGCGGAATGCGGGAAGCGGTGGCAAACAGCGTGAAAGACACGTGGGCTCTACACGCATGAGTTGTTGTGGAAGGCTTGAACTGTGAGGAAAATCACAGTACAAGCTTGTACTCTTACGTTTGGCCTGAGACAAAGACCGCATCACTTACTTGGGCAAAACGACTGGTTTCCTCGCCCATCCCACTACATCTGGCCAATAACATGTTCCTTCTCTGCCCAGTCGCTGGTCGCCGTGCTCATGGAATGGACGGCCAGGTGCAAAGACTCCTCCATCGTGGTGACAGTGACCGGCTGCGTCTCCGAAGGCATCTGTGCACAAAAGACTCCGATGAGCACCGCCCCTTCACCTTGGTGGTGACTTCATGGCAGGAGTCTGAAGACTGTCCATCTTTATAGTGGTGACCAAATAGATAGTGGCACAGTTTCCAATACATTTTTAGTGGGGATCTGAATTTTGATGGATGCACTGACTGTGCATCTCAAATGGTAATTAGAACAGTGCTGCAATGCCACGTCATCGCAATACATCTGGTATTGAATAGAAGCGTTGCAAGAGAACAATGCCTTCTTGAGAGGAAAGCCAAACACTTTGTGTTCCACAACCCTAGGTGTGCTTGTGAACTACTGCGCAGCTCTTACGTAGCATGAAGCCAAAGTAGTGCCGTTTGTGCACGCCACTCTAATTTGGATTGTAACTGGCATCCTGTCGAACCAAGCGCAAGCACACCCAAATCTGCCACTTCCGCTTTCAGTGGCTATTGGGTTTCGCTGAACTCAAGTGGCTGCCTATGGAAGATCTGAGAATGGTCACATTCTGCCCTGCAATGAACAAACGCCCTTTCTCTAGCCTTACCACGCTTCCATCTAGCGAAAGTGGAACCTTTTACAAGCAAGCCTCATTGATGAAGCCACCGCCCCCCCTGGCTTCGGCCCTGCGATGGTCTTAGTTATGAAATGTCATTCTACACATATGGTATAATGTTTCAAGTAGAGAAATACATGAAGAACTAACATGGGTTGATGGCCACTTTCGGCCAAGTGGCCAAACCACCTACAAACATTATAGTGGTCTCCAAATAGGTAGAAAAGTAGATCCCCAGTAAAAATGTATTCAACACCGTTTCTATCTATTTGGGGACCACTATAAATTGATACAGTATACGTGCCAAACATGTTCATTCCAATGATCTGCGAAAAGTCGTGCTGAATCTCAACTGGTGTAGGCTGTAGGCTTTCCAAAAGAAGTGCCCAGGCGGATCATGTCAACGAACATAAGGCCGATGTTCTTGAGTTTTTTCTTGTGTCAGCCAAATCCAGGGTCGAAATCATAATTACGCCATATTACGCCCAAACTTGGATGAAAGGGCTACCTTCAATTGCCTGAATGACACGCACTGCCACCAGGTGACCGTCAACCCTTTATCGTTTTTTGTAAGAAATGCTCCACACAACGGCGTGCCCGCAAACTCTCACCGATTTGGATTGTATCTTGTATCTTGTGCTTGGACCAACTTGCTGTCTTACGAAGTGCAAACAAAGTCAGCGGTGTTCGGCAGCTCTCTTGTTTTCACCACTCCCACATGATTCTTGTTCAAAACAACTAGCATCCAACAACTGGACACAAACCATTCTTCACATGTCGTCTTGTTGGGTAGGGAATGGAGACACACAATCGGTGGCCACCGATTTCACAAGTGGCCCATGGCTCAAGAACAATGTTTGGTGGGTGGCCCCAAAACAATGTTTGGGGGGCCCCAAAACAATGTTTGGGGCTCTCTGAGTCTCAGAAACACTTTGCTCCGGTGTTCATACTAGCCGTGCAGCCTGTATTGTATGAAGCTATCTGATTTGTTTCCAGGGCTGGTTTCCTTATATACAGTAAATATATCATGGACGTGGAACACCGGCTCGACTGTTGATGATTACTAAACGACCCCACAAAGAGGTTTTTACAATCTAAATGGGGAAGTTGTTCCTAACCAACAGTCCACATTAGAAATATAACAGAATTTCTGCTCGGATTTCCTTGAGGATCTATGGCATCCCGGTGCAGCTCAGCTGCTGACTCCAGTACACAGGAAGCTCGCCAGCTGTCCACCCGAAGGGCGATAGGGAGCCCAAGGTGTCCTCGGCACCGGGCTCGGAGCTTTAGAAGCACTTGGAAGTGGTGATGCCCAAAGAACATGATTGAACAATTGAGCATCACTGTCTGGCATGTGTTCGGTTGACTAAAGTCTTATTCCCGAAAACGGCGCGAATGCAGGATTCCTTGCGTGCCGTTTCATGTTTACCATATAACCAACACTAATGGTGAAACCTTGTTTTATGGTATGGTTTTGTTCGTTTCACAGCAAAATACACTAGCGCATACTCTTGTACCTAAGCTGACTAGAGCTGTCGTCGGCAGTGCTAGAGGAGCTGCTCTCTGTACAGCTGCTTTGCTGCATTTGCTTGAGCTGTTTGCTCTGCCGACTCGTGTGGGCTTTGTCGTTTGTCAAGTGCAGCTCATACTTTGCCCTGTCAAAGACAAGGTGTGAAAATGAGCAAAGCAAGCTCACTAGGAATAGTGCAACATGCCAACCATTTGAAGTTGTGTCCTTGCTCCTGCTAGCCCTATGAAACTGCACATCACAGATTAAACATGTGGTCCAAGCAAACGGCTTCTAGCAATCAAAAGCAGATTCAAAAAAACGCTGGCGCCCCACAAGCGCCACGCTAGCGCCTAGCTTGTGTTTTAGAGTATTCTCTTGCGTGCTGCAACATAATTGCCTTTTAAAATCTACCATCACAAATGTAGTGTTGCCATTTTGTATAAACTCCTTAGCACCGACTTTTGGCATCCAAACATGTGGGTGCACAAGCATACCCCAACAAAAAACAACATGGAGTCGCATAGTTGTAGGGATTGAATTGGAACTGGAACTGGGCAGCAAACATGAACTGGAAATTATCTGCAGTTCAATACTGAATATGGAATCGGCAGAAATCAATAGACCCAATGTCCAGATGTAATTGTTTTCCCTGGAGAAAGCAATTTTCAACTGTCATGTTAGTTCCAAGGGGTGTGACATGATCATGCACCGACCAAAATGATGACCTGGTCACGTTTGCTACGAAACCTTTGTATATGCAAATGTCGTATACCTTGCTGATTGTTGGATCCGGTCCACGACGAACCTCCGTCGGTTCATGTCATGTTCACCGAGGGGCACATGAATCTCCGCAGGTGCATTCAGTGCCGCCGCAAAAGCATCCCCAAGGCCCGAATCTCGGTAGGGGCCTCCCAGGATGGCGCATCCGGGAGAATTGAACTCTTTCAAGGCATCCGGAACCCCAACACATCCCAAATATGTAAAGTTTCAAACGTGGGTCACATATGTTTTCTCGGCCGGGTGGCGCAACTTCACCAAGAAAAAGGCAACCTCTGAAACGGTTTTTGCTTCAAAACCCGGCGGTTCCATCCCGGCAAACCCCGCCAACACCCCATTCACTGCGGCCTGTGCCATCCTTGGCAAAGTTGTTGGCAAAATCCAGTTCCTTGAAAACGGAATAAATACCTGCAGTCCATGCCCAACAACATCGCCAGCAATTCTCGGATTGCCGGGTGGACGATCTATCATCTGCCAAAATTTCCGTGGAAAGGATTGTGTGTGTGGAGGTTCATTTTCATGTTTCAGGGCAGTCGGTAACCCGCGGACATTTTTTGAGTGTGAATTAATCCCGTTCGGTCCAACCACGTCCAAAACAGCACAACTGAGGCCTTGCGGGGGTAAATGGGGAACCAATGACAACATCTTGCAAACACAGCAGAAACAACACCCGGGAAAACTGCGACCAACAACATTGCAATGTGTTGCGCAACACCAAGGTGCAATTCCCTTGCAAGTCGAAGAAGAAGATATCGTAAAAATTCCTCGAAATGCCAGCTGCGGGAACAAATGCCTGTTCGTGCGTGATCGCTAGAAGGTATACCAAGTTCAATACCATCGTGGTACGACGTTTGGTTGGTTCCAAAATACTTTACTTCGAGTCACTCCGAATACCTCGGGCGAGCCGCGGAAGATGTATTGACACACCGTCCTGCTTGACATGTGCGTTGGCACAATGTTCTGACACTTGTTCTGGCATCAAGGCTGGCAGGTACTTCTGACATGTGTTCCCGCCCTCGCACCAAACAAACATGATATGTGACCTATGGGCCCAGTTTCATTTTTTGATATGCGTTCCGACACATGTTTTCCCGATAAAATCGACATTGGTTCTGCCACCAGATGACAGCCACAAAAAATATTCTAAAATGATCTACAATGCGAGTCTGGCTGTCGACCAGCCATCCCACATGGGCACCCGGCCGGTGAAAACAAGTAACAAGCTACTACAGTATAGTGGGCACAAGAAGAAATGAAAATGGCTAAAAACTGCTGCGCGCAAGGAAAACTGGTGGGGTTTGCAAAGCCTTGTGTTGATAGAATAACAAACTGCAAAAATGCATAGGTTTCTTTCAAGTTTCATTCAAATTCATTCAAATTTGGCTCAAATTTTTGCAAGACCAATGAATGAAATTTGAAAGAAACATGTGTAAGGGTAACCAATTCAGGGACATTAAGCATCCAGGTCATGACAATTGACGTTGCCAAAACGTTTGGCTGTCATTTAATTCATCAAAGCATGTGATTAATGTTCATGTGGCAATTGTCATCCGGCAGAAGTGGAAGGGCCTTGCCACCGGAAAACATCAAATGATTGACAATCACCGTTTGTTTCAGCCTTTTTTCTCCTGTCAAGCTGTCATATGTCTCCTGTCCCCATCCGGCGCTGAACAACCACATACAGTCTGTTCAAGGTTGTTCAGCGCCGGGCTCAAAGTCTGGCGACCCCATTCTACGCGGCGCCAGCCACAATTTGCCAAGTTCAGGCCAGACTGGGACTGGTGTTTGTAGCACTTTAATCAACAAAACTGCAAAAATGCATGGTTTTCTTTCAAATTTCATTCAAACTCATTCAAATTTAGTTTTCAAATTTGCAAGACTAAAATTTGAACTAAATTTGAATGAGTTTGAATGAAATTTGAAAGAGACATGTGTAAGGTTCACAAATTCAACAGCCCACCATGCTGGTCTGAGTTCGCAAGCGACTACCTATCTGATGCGGCTGCGCTGCAGTGGATCTGAATTGCCACTGTGATTTGTCAAATGTCAACCTGTGACACAAAATCAAATGAAGCTGCCTGATTCACCTGGTCTACGAACAATTTTATTCGAAGAGTGTCATGTGTCACGTGGCAACCAGCTTTGTCATACGCAGCATTC